ACTCTGAGCACAGGGGGCAGTTGGTCACATTTAAGTGACAGGGAGAAGCCAGCTCTCCAGTTCATTGGTCACACCCCAAGCTGGGTGTGCAGAGGCCCCCAGCCCAAGCCTGTATCCTCACCGTCAGCAGGGACAGGGCTGCAAGGAAGAACAGGAGTAGAGCGCGCATGAAATGTGGATGCCCAGTGGATGTGGAGTTTGCTGATCGGCAGCCCAAGGCCAAATCTGCTCTGCAGATGGGTTTTGTTGGGTCTTCCTGGCTTTAAAAGCAGTTCAAAATAGAGAGAGTGCACAGGGACAGATTTTTGATCTGAGAACTGGTCTTAAAACCCTGGGACAAGTTCTCACATGGCCACTACTAGCTGGGGCTGAACATCAGGTGCCCCCCCCCCCACCAGTGACAGCAGCTCTGTCCCTCCACCTGGCTGGCCTCAGAATGCACCAGGGAAAGCCAGTACTGGCCCAGAGTGACTCAGTACTGGGGACCCTGAGAGAAATGGAGGGGTCTGAATTCTAGGTCCCTGGAGAATATCAGGCCATTGCTCATTTTCCCACAAATCTTGAAAGCAGCTGTGCAGATAACTTTGGAGCTCAGGAGAAAGAACATTTCAGAAGCAAACCTACAGATGACTACGGTCTGGAAGGAAGAAACTGGAAACCAGTGACAGGGTACAAGGTATGCATCCATCAGGGTCATTCAGAGAGGCAGAAATTGTGTGTGTGTGTGTGTGTGTGTGTGTGTGTGTGTGTGTATGTGTAAGAGATTGATTGCTAGTACTAGGGATTGAACTCAAGGTCTTGTGCCCTTGATTGGCTTTTCCAGTCAAGGCTGACACTCTACCACTTGAGCCCCACTTCTACTTCTGGCTTTTTGCTAGTTAATTGGAGATAAGATTCTCCAGGACTTTTCTGCCTGGACTGGTTTTAAACCTCAATTCTCAGATCTCAGCCTCCTGAGTAGCCAGGATTTCAGGCGTGAACCATCGGGGCACAGATTCCCACTGGTTCAATTCTGGATGCTACACAACTACTTGGACCAGGAAAGCAGCAGAGACCTGCCCTAGCACAGACAGGAGGAATTTAATTTTTAATTAAAAACAACAACAACAAAGATAACATGGGAAATCTAGATCTTCTTCATGCTCCTATTGTGGGTCATGGTGTTTGAGTTGCGTATCCAGGGAACACCAGGTTTTTTCATGCGTAGGGCCTCCCAGGATTAAATTCATTTCAGAGAGGAGCACAGACTGAGAAGCAGGGAGAGCAGGGCAGGAAGAGCACAGGGAAGCACAAAGGTGTGTGGCCTGCTGGCTCTGTGTGTGTGTGTGTGTGTGTGTGGCCTCAAAGTTCAAAACATGCTGGAACATGGAAAGGAAGGTATTTTCCCAAATGACTAAGACATGTTCCAGCATTTTCCCACAGGCCCCTACACATCCCAAAATAACTGCAGCCCTGGATGGTGGCCGTTGGCATCTGATTACATTTGTATAGTGTTACAGAGCAGCGGGCAGCCCGGCCATACATGCACCAGGGGGTTTGTGGGAATGCACAGCCCACAACAGAGATCCAGGCTAGGCTTCTTAGGCCAGAAGGCAGAAAAACCAAAGACAGAGATCCCAATAGTCTCCAGTGTGGCCCTGCCAGAATCCCCCAAGGCACTCAGACTAGGCGGGGGAGGAGGAGACACCAGGCCTGGAATGACTTATCGGAGGATGACAAGGCAGTAGGAAAGCTGGCTCTCCATTCCCATCTCCTGATGATGGGGTTTACTTCTGAAGAAGTAAATCTTAACCTTGGCATCATAAGATCTAAGTGGAAGGCACTGTGTGACTGGGAATTGAACCCAGGGCTTTGTGCATGCTAATTCAGGGGCTCTACCTCTGAGCTATATCCCTAGCCCTTTAATGGGACTCTTAAGACTTCCTTGGCCATCCAGGCTACTTACACACTTAGATCTGGACAACACTGTGGGAATATGGAGGAGTCAGGCTGGTGCTGCCGCTCTCTGGAATTCACACGGCCTTTCCAAGGATATGACTAACAATGTTTAAACTGCAAGACAAACAATTGGGCACTGGTAACAGGCCAAAGAGAAGTTTGGGGAAAGGAAGTCTAAGAAAGAGTGTAACGTCCCAACAGGGAAGAAACTTACAAGCTAGTGATCAGGATGGGTAGGCTCTGGGGCAGGAGAGAGGGGGTATAGGCATCCTGGGCGGGGTCATAGCCTGTGGCTGAGAGGAAGGTGCACCGAGTTTGGCAGCCACACCCAGGGATGCAGGCTGCACGTGACCAGGCTGCGTGTGGCTTTCAGGGCAGGCGCCCTCACTCACTGGCTCCCCCAGTTCCAGTCCACTAAGCCAATCAGAAGCTGAGTATCATAAATGGAGAATGCACTTCGGACACTCACTCTAGCGAACAGCCCAACAGACGGGCAGAGTGCACCACAGGCTCACCCGTTTCCCCTGTGTCCACCCTTACTTGTGAGATTTGCACAGCATGTCACTACCCCAGGAAGAGAAACTAATTCAAAATTTGAAGTATGGGGCTGGGAAGGTGGCTCAGTGGTAGAGTGTTTGCCTTGCATGCATGAGGCCTTGGGTTCGATTCCTCAGCACCACATAAGAAAAAAGAAAAAAGCCGGAAGTGGCGCTGTGGCTCAAGTGGTAGAGCGCTAGCCTTGAGCTGAAGAGCTGAGGGACAGCGCCCAGGCCCAGAGTTCAGGCCCCACGACCGGACCCCCCCCAAAAAAAATTGAAGTATGAATCCACTCAATATATATTTCTTTCACAATCCACTAAAGTTAAAAAAAAAGAAGAAATTCCTAAGTCAAAGCATTTATAAGAAGGCTCCATCTGCAGCAGTTCCAAATCACTTGCTTTCATCCAAAACAATGTATAAAATCAAATACTCTCAAAAATGGCACGAGTTAATTCTCCTATTTGTTTTCTCTCTTGGCCACCACAGTCCACTAGGGTGCTGAAGACTGGAACACTGTGGACCTTGGTTCAAATCTTGCCTCTGCTCCTGGCTGTACAAGAGCATGTCACTGTTTCCCTGTGTTAAATGAGGCTGTTAATAGTAGCTCTTATCATCCCCAGGCTCATCCTCCCCGAGTAAATGAGGAACCCAGGAACAGGAGGAGGAAGAGGAAGGCTCTGTAACTTGGCATTGTCTCAGCTATCACACAGCAGAGTTGTAATTTGAGCCCCAAGGTCTGATTCAAGCTTGTGTTAATGGCATTGCTCTCTAAAGGATTGGGGTGGGGCAGGGGGGTTAAGTAAACCAAGACCTCCTGACGTCTGGTAGCTTCCCCCCCCCCAATTCCTACAGGGGCCAACACAGTTAGGTAAGAGCCTACAGTCAGCAATGTGTGTGGACCCTGTGCCAGGCCCAGGCATGAACTCAGGCCACAGAACCATCCTCAAGTCCACGTTCCATCTAACCTAGATGACTGGGAAGAATTCCAGGATTGCAAAGTATTCTTCTACTTAATGTAGAACTGTTTATGATGTTGGGCAATCAAGTTACTCTCAGCCTAAATTCAATAATCACTCCAGGAGCCTTCATGTTGTTTGAGGTCCACTGAGAATAGACACTCGAGTCCCCAGAAGAAGAGGTCACAGTGTTTACTTCGTTAAAAAAGATCCCAGTTTCTTTTTCTATTTCCATGCTGGAGTCTGAGGAAGCAGTGGCATGTGGTTGGCTTGTCCTTCCCAAATGAGTTCACTCAGGAATGATGCTGGCAGCTTCCCAGCCGAGTGACTTCAGCCTTTCTCAGCACACTGAGTGGCAAGTAGAGCAGCAGGTATTTTTGTGCACCATCGTCAGACACCAATATTAAACGCTATACAGTCATGCGACTGGGCTGAGGGCTCATGCAGATCTCAGCACACGCACTCTGAGGCTCAATGTCTCAGGTCTTCCTCTTTTTCAACTCCATTTGGCAAGTCATGACATTAAAAAAAATACCTCCTATGCATGTTCTAAGGTTGTGGTCTTTCTCAAGCTTTAAAGAACCATCCTCTGCTGGGCACAGGTGACTCATGCCTGTAATCCTAGCTACTCAGGCAGCTGAGATTAGAGGATCAAAGTTCCAAGCCAGCCCAAGCAGGAAGGTCTGTGAGACTCTTATCTCCAGTTAACCAGCAAAAAGCCAAAAGTGAAGGTGTGGCTCAAGTGGTAGAATGCTAGCCTTGAGCAAAAAGCTAATAAAGGCCAGTGTCCAGGCACTGAGTTCAAGTCCCAGTACTGGGGAGAAAAAAAATCTACCCAGTGGCATCTGGGTACATGTGACCCCTAAGCCCAGAGGCTTCTAGGAACCCAACCTGAGAGGAGAAAACTCGTCCCATCTGTTTTGGTGACTCAGTCAGAGAAAGATGCCCGGAAGTCTCTCAGAGCACATTTCCAGCCCCTGGTGACTTGGACACCACAGGATACCTTGGCAAGTGTGGAGGGCAAAAAATACTGTCCAAGGCACTGTGGCTGCTGGCTGGGCCAGTCCAAAGGGGTGGGGAGGCGCCTTCATCATCTGAGTCCACAGCCCTCAGGCTTCTCACAGTTCAGTTGTTCCTGAAACTGGAACGTGGCCCAAGATTCATTCTCTTAGGACAGGTAGAGAGAGATAGCACAAATCTTGCAGCCAACTAAGAAATGTGTTCTTCATGTAGTTTGATGAAAGCTAGTGACCAATCATCTTGATGCTGCCCCGTTTTTCAGAAACCACAAAAAACAGCTAAGTAGTGATTCATGTCTGTAATCTTAGCTACTCTGGAGGCTAAGCTCTGGAGGATCACAGTGTGAGGATAGCCTGGTGAAAAGCTCACTTCTTGTTAGCAATAAAATGCGAGGCATGGTGGCTTGTGCTTGCCAACCCTGCACCATGCTGAAATAGGAGGATTGTGATGCAGACCAGCCTGGACGGTGGAGTAGCAGCCTCACAAGCACAAGGCCTTGAATTCAAACCACAGCTCCCCCTCAAAAAAACCCACAAAACCATTCTGAGTTATATAACTACTTTATTATTCCTTTTTTCCCCCAAATGTAACATTAAAGTCATTCAACATACAGATATTCCTATGGCTCCTTACACATTCTTTTCTATCTAAGGTTAGGTATTTGAATGAGATGAAAATCATCCCATTAAAATGACAACATTTCTGAAAAATGGGTTTCATATTTCCGTGGTGAGAAATCAACTCCCTGTGTACCCCCTTCAAGACTCCTTCAGTCCCAGAGCTACAAGAAGACAGCTCACAGGCACGGCTAACATTCTGTGCCCATGCCCATACAGGGCCCCACACAAGCAATGGGTTAAACTTCTGAAGCAACTGCTTTATTTATACAGAGGAAGAATACAGAAGCAAAGCATCACTTTCCTTTCAGCCCTTTTATTAGTGCTTTGCCTCCACCCAAGTTACTGCGTACCAAGTGGCTATGAACAAAAACTGACTGACAGCCCCTGAAATGCATGCAATCTAAAACCCCTAGAGCACATCAGCAGTCCCTGCCCCTGGTCTGTACTTCATTCGGTGCCAGCTGAGTCCACTGTGCTGCCTGGATTTGGAGCTGCTGCTGCTGCTGTTGCTGCTACAGCAGCTTCTGGCTGCTGGGTTTCAGCTTGGGGGTCTTCATTTCCGTCACTTTTCTTCCCTTTGTCTGCTGCCACAGCACCCATCCCTATGATTTCCTGCAGAGGCTGGTCAGTTTCAGGGTTGCTGGGCTGGAGTTCATAGACCTGGATTTGACCCGGGACATCGATTGCTTTCTGCTCCAGTTTTTCCAAGATGGTCTGAACCTTCCTGACCCCATCTCTCCGGGCCTGGCGCACATCAGCTCGTCCTTCAGGGTCCACGGAATCCAGAGCCAGCAGCTCCTTGGTCAGATACTCCTCAATCATCAGGTACTTCTTGTCAGTCTTCTTGCCTTCGAAGCTGTCCACCGCCTGCTCCAGCCCTTGCACCTTCTCCAGGATGGCTTCCACTTTCAGCACACCTGGATGCTTGGGGGGGGCCTCGGCCTCTCCTGCTTTGAGGGGTGTCGCTTCTGCAGGGGCAGGACTGGGGGCTGCCCTCTCTGGTGCAGCCACGTTCTTGGGAGAGGCAGGGACAGCAGCTGGTGGGGCGGGACTGGGAGGAGGACAAGGAATGGGAGGCGAGGGGACCTTTACTTCGGTCTTCTCAGCAGGAGGAGGCTGTGGCTTCTGGGGCGCGGCCTTGGGCTCCGCCTCCTTGCGGATCACCTGAATGGGGACGTGTCCAGGAGGGAGGTCTGGCGCAGTGGGGCCTGGCTTGCTTTCTGGTTTGTTCTCAGGTTGAGCCACAGGTGGAGACTCTCGATGGGCCACAGGCTGCTGAGAAAAAAGAGATAAAGAAAGAAAAAAAACATTTATTGACTTCATTAGAGGTAAGGGAGTGGGGAAGGATTTCCTTGTAAAGAAATTTTTACTAATTGGCTGGAAGCCACAGACAAGTATGAATCAGGGAAAAAAACACAAACAAACCTGGGAAATAAAAAAAATTTAATAGCCCAAATAAAAAACCATTCTATTGATCACGGTGGCCCATGCCGCCTGGTAGCTATTAGACATCACATGTATAAGGATTTGGGGTGTTTTTTGTTTTGTTGCCAGTCCTGAACTCAGGGCGTGGGCACTGCCTGAGCTTCATTTTGCTCAAGGCTAGCACTCTACCACTTGAGCCACAGAGCCACTTCCAGCTTACTTGGTTCACGTGGTACTAAGGAATCGAACCCTGGGTTTCATGCATGCTAGTAGCACTCTACCACTAAGCCAATTCCCAGCCCCTCCTACCCACCCCCACCTTTTTTTTTTTAATGGTTTCTTGAGACAGGAGCTCACTATACAGTCCAGGCTGGCCTTGAACTCATGACCCTTTTGCCTCAGCCTCCATAAGTGGCTTTGTACATGGCATTCTTATTCCTTTTTTGTGTGCCAGTATTGGGGTTTGAACTCAGAGCCTTACACTTTGGCTCAGCGTTTTTTGTTCATGGTTGCCATGCTACCACTTGAGCCATACCTCCAACTCTGACTTTTTGCTAGTTAATTAGAAGTAATTTGTCTGTTTAGGCTGGTTTTGAACCTTGATCCTCAAGGTGAGTAGAAATTTTTTAATAGTAAGGAAATGAAAGCTGATATAATTTTCAAATGTGTAAACAGCAAAAACTCATTGTGGCTGCTGATCAAGGCTGGCGCAGCGGATCCTGAGTGGCTCCACCTCTGCATGCAGCCAGCGGCCTGCGTCAGGCCCTCCCTTCTTGCTGGGCCGCCTCAGCTCACCGGTGACCTTTACATCTGTTCCGCAAGAGGACAATCCTCTTTTTGAAACCTCTGACAGTCCAGTGGTTTCTGTCCAGACTGCAGTATCTTTGAGAATAAGCAACGTTCCAAATAGTTAACCCCAGAGGAATTCTACACAAGCACACATGTGCCAGAGCCCAACACACCCATGAAGCGGCACTCCACACTCACTTCTGATTGTGCAATCTTGCACGTGACTAAAGGCCATAGTTATAAAAAAATGAGATATGCTCAAAACAGGACTGCTATAGCTCTTCTAGCATGTGAAAAAATATGTAAAATCTGTCAGACTGCTGGGCACTAGTGGCTCACACTTAGAATCCTAGCTACTTGGGAGGCTCAGATCTGAGGATCATGGTTCAAAGGAGCCCAAGGCAAGAAAATTCCTGAGACTCTTATCTCCAATTAATCGCCATAAACCCAGAAGTGGAGCTGTGGCAGTAGCAGAGCAAAAAAGCCTTGAACAATAAAAGTTTTGGGACAGCGCCAGGCCCTGAGTGAATTCAAGCCCCTGAAATGGCACAAGCACAGCAGCACATGCACCTGGACACACGCATCCACCTGTAGCAACCGGACACACGCATACACCTGTAGCACCCGGACACACGCATACACCTGTAAAACTTTCCCGAGCTTCAGCAACTGCAAAGTAAAAGTTGAACTATACTATTTCTCCTCACAAGTAGGAATATTAATTCTAATTTCATGCTCAATTAATCAATCATGAACGCCTCCAAAAATGGTTCTTTGAACAAGCTATAAAAAGATGGCTACCATGATCAAGGTTCATAAGGATAAGAGTATTAAATATTGTTTCACCAATTATGAGAAACACGGGAAAGGCGTGGGAAATCTCTACTTCGCACTTCTTTCCCAGGATTACTAAATCTGAGGTAAACCTGGTGACAGCTGTCTAAGCACCAGCAACCTCCTTTCCCACCAAATTGCTTTGCCAAACTTCATTCTTACGACTCACCAACCCATCATACACCCTGGCTTTGGGTTGCAAAAGCCATGGAGGCTGCATGTAAGAGGTAGCTTTGGGAAAACAGGAGAGGCTGCCCCATGGCCTGTATTCTGCAAAAATACCATGGTCATGAAAGCACTGCAAGGTGGAGGAGCTGTTCCAGAGACACAAGAAGAGACATGGAAGGACTGGCCTCGTGACCCAGACTCCATCTGAGATGGGGAGATCACTGTGAAAGACATTTGAAATGGATAGAATAATGGATGACACTATTTTAAGAATTCCAAGCTGGGAGCTGGTGGCTCATGCCTGTAATTCTAGCTACTCGGGAGGCTGAGATCTGGAGATCTAGGTTTGAAGCTGCTCAGGCAGGAAAGTCTGTGAGACTCTTATCTCCAATTAATCACAGAAAAAGCCGGAAGTGGTGCTGAGGCTCAAGTGGTAGATGGCTAGCCTTGAGTGAAAGGAGCTCAGGGACAGCGCCCAGGCTCAGAGTTCAAGCCCCAGGACTGGCAAAAAAAAAATTCCAAAGGGGTTGGAGGTGTGGTTCAAGTCAAATTTGAATCCCAGTCTCTGACAAAAAACAAATTTTTTTCCATGAAAATTTCTTAAAACCTGTAGTTCTACTATAGTTATGTTTTTCTTAGGAAAAGTATTTGCTGTTTAGGGGCAAACGGGCATAATGTTTGCAAGTAACTCTCAAGACAGCTAAAATATACAGATGACGCAGACAACAAATGTAGCGAAATGTGAATTTGGGTGCAAGGTACACAGAACCTCTTTGTGTGACTCTTGGGAGGGACTTTTCTCCTAAAAACTGGGTTAAAGAGGAATTCCGTTGCTCAAGTTGCAGCCAGAGGGCCCAGGGCCACCGAACTCTAATGATGTGAAACTGTAAGCTGGTGAGATGCAGTCATCCTCCAGCAGCCAGCCTCTCTCCACAGCAGGATGAGAGGCCCGTGCCCATGACCTGCAGCAGGCCAGGATGGCTTCCTTCTACCACCAGCAGCCAGCATCAGCCAGGGACCACATGTCCTATCGCAAAGGGATCTGAGAAAGGTTATCCAGACATGGTTCTTTGTCATCAGGCTCAGAGCTAAAGACAAAAGATAAGCACCTTGAAATACAAAACTCACATCCCAACAGAGCACCATGAAAAAGACAAGGAAGCTCCCTCCACAAAGAGGCAAGACTGACTGGAAGGCAGGAGGTCGGGGCTGTGCTGGCCTTCTAGGAAGTGAAGTGGGTCCTACCTGATCAGCTCACTAAGGGAGTGCGTAGAATGGCTTGTTGAGTGGAGACCCCGTCTCCACTCCCTGTTCATGGCCCGAGGAGACAGCTCTGATGCAGTGCACAGGCATATATATATATGGGGAGGAACTCATCCCAGGTGTGTGAGTTCATCAAGCCGTCTCCTCTGCCCCTAGAGCAGCTGCGATGAAAAATAATCCACTGAGAGGGAAAAAAAAAAAAGCTGCAGGAAGAGTGGAGGGTCCGTAGCCATAAGCCTGCATTTTGTGAGGACCAGCAATTCCCAGAATCCCCCTTTTCTCCAGTTCCTCTCTATGTTAGTGAGGCAGGGCTGACAGGAAGCTCCTCCGCCCCTCGAGAGATACAGCTGCGGCTGTCTGAAACAACTGCCCATACCTGGGTCCTGTCCACCACCGTTTGCACACGGATGGGTGATGGGGAGTGCACGGGTGTGCTGCTTCTGGCTGGCGAGCCTTCCCTGCTGGACACGCCCCGGACGGGCGATCTGAAAGGGGACGCCGCCCTCGGGCTCCGGGGCTCCCACTCGTCACCCTGGATCTTGTGGTACACAGGCTGGTGAGTCTGGTATTCACCCTGTGGAGCTGGGTAGTGGGTCTTCTGGGTTTGGTGGAAGGGCTGGGCTGCCGGCCGGGCGGCGTTCTGCTCATGGATCACTGGGATGGGGATATAGCCCCGGGGGAGCTGGTGACTCCCCAAGCTGCTCCTGCCGGAGGAGGGCAGGCTGGCCGAGGAGGACGCCGATGAGCAGTCTGAGGCAGCTGGAGACTGGGACCTCTGCAAGACACAAAGGGTAGAGGCCACAGTGCCACGAGGGACCCACTCACTGGCTGGCGCTCAGCCTTCCACTGATTTCCTGCGTAATAAGGCAACACTTTCCCCAGTGTCTCCTGGAGATGATGCTGTTTTTCTCAGCAGGGAGGTGGAGCTCAGGGGTACAGCACATGTTTAGTGGGCACAAGACCCTATGTTCAACCCCAGCCCACTCCCAAAAAAGTAACGTTAAGCTGAGTATCAGTGGCTCACGTCTGTAGTTCTAGCTTGTATGGAGGCTGAGAGCTGACGATTGTGTTTTGAAGCCAGACCAGGCAGAAGAGTCTCTGAGACTCTTATCTCCAAATAACCACCAAAAAAGAAAAAGGAAAAAAAAGCCAAAAAGCTGGAAGTGGATGTGTGGCTTTGAGTGAAAAAGCTAAGGGACAGCATCCAAGCCAGGCCCTGAGTAGAAGCCCCAGTACTAACACACGCGCACACAAAGTAGTATTAGACAGAGTTCTGGATGAAGCTTGAGTTCAAATTCTTAGTGTCTCAGTAGGTCTCTAAGTCTTATTTGAAACATGGGACAAGAATACTGCACCTTCTCACTGGGTGATTTTGAAGCTAACGTAAAATCATCGGTGCCTATGTCTAGCATGGCAGTAGTACGTACAGGACACACTGAATCCTTTTACAATCATGTGTGTCTGTATCTCAGCATGAAGCAGTACATGCAGTAAGTGCTAGGTCCACTGTATCTGTGGTTACTGAGTATCTTTTTCCTGATCCTTAACCATTTTTCTACTCACCTATAGAGAAGGAAGCTGAGCAACTGACAGTGTGTGGATCCCTAGTGGAGCCTGGCATTCTAGAAAAGGAGATGGGCCTTTATGCACTTAGCTCCTAAGAGCCTTGTTAGCTTATATTTGCTAAGATACCTCTTACCAGTATGTTTGATTTTTACAGTAAAAACACTATAAATGCAGATACTGTGTCTTCAAAAGCCTCTCAGTATCCTACATAAACAACAGTTTTCACCAAGAAGCAGGAGAGGAGCTCAACTGATTCAGAACAGAACTGAGGGTGCTCAAGGCTCTGGTGCAGATACAGTGAAGGTTTGTGCTTAAGAAACAACGTCAGGGGCTGGGAAGGTGGCTTAGTGGTACAGGGCTTGCCTAGCATGTATGAAGCCCTGAGTCCAATTCCTCAGGACCACATACACAGAAAAAGCCGGAAGTGGCTCAAGGTAGAGTGTAGTCTTGAGCAAAAGAAGCTTGGGACAGTGCCCAGGCCCTGAGTTCAAGCCCCACTACTGGCAAAAAGAAAAAAAAAGAAACAGTGTCAGAAAATTCAGAGTGCTTACTACTCACAATCCTGTTAGGTCTCTGTCCCACAAATCTCAGCTAAGAACCAGATGATCTTTTTGTTTTGTTTTGTTTTTTTGCTGTAACTGGGATTTGAACTCAGGCCTTGTCATTACTAGGTAGGTATTCTACCACTGAACTACACTCCCAGCCCTTTTCGCTTTAGTTATTTTTTTTAACAGGTTCACTTTTTTCCTGGGTTGGCCTGGACTGTGATCCTCTTATTTACACCTCCCATGTGGCTAAGATACCAGTATATACCACATCCAGCTTTTTCCTGGTTGACAAGACGTCTTGTAGACTTTTTTGTTCAGGCAGGTCTTGATCCTCCTGATCTCAGCCTCCCTTGAAGCTAGGATTATAGGCATGAACTACCAAGCCCAGCTTATCTATTAATGCACTGAACCTACCAATGCACTTTGAAGTATTGATATTCAGGGTAGCAATACTATCCTAAAAAGCCTTTTTATTATTATTGTTGTTGTTTCCTTTTAAACTGTGGGACACTCTGAAGGTAGGGATGTAGTCCAGTTTTCTTTACCAACACAATTATACAAAGCATTTATCCATGAGCACTGAACTGAAGGAAATATATTGCTCTCCTTGACGCAGAAAACCCAGCAGGAATTAGGAGGAGATTATGAAGTTGACGGCTTACATTCTTATAATTACAATTTGGGGTGGGGTGTGCTACTGAGGAGTGAACTCAGGACCTTTCACTTTTGCCAGGCAGGCACTCTACCAAAGCCATGCCTCCAGCCTCTTTTTTTGCCAGGCGTCGGGCTAGAACTCTGGGCCTGGGCCCTGTCCCTGAGCTCTTCCGCTTAAGGCTAGTGCTCTACTGCTTGAACCACAGCACCATATCCGGTTTTCTGGTGGTTAAATGGAGATAAGAGTCTCAAGGACTTTCCTGCCTAGGCTGGCTTTGAACTGTGATCCTCAGATCTCAGCCTCCTGAGTAGTTAGGATTATAGGTGTGAGCCACCCGTGCCCGGTGTTCCAGCCTCCTTTAAAACTACAAAGATAAGCTATGTAACTCCTGCCCTGGCCACCTAAACCCCTATGAAATACCGGGACCAGGCGGAGCTGTCAACTGCAGGAGCTCTGATGCTGTGGCCAGGCTCCGAGGCCCTGCAGGGCACCTGGCACCTGGCCCAGGGTAAGCCAGGCCTCTCCTTACCTCAGGTCCATGAGAGGCGGGGGGCTGAGCAGAGGTAGCCGCCGCGCCCTGTCCACACTGCTTGTCTGGCTGGACGGCTTCTGCCATGCTGCGCAGAGGTGACTGGGACCTCTGAGGGGCAGCCGCAGCTGCCTCGGTTCGGAATCGCTGCACCCCAGGCTGGGGATAGGCATGGAAAGTGTGTGGCTGCCGGTGCTCAGAGCCTTCGTGGAGGACAGGAATGGGAATGTAGCCTGGTCGGAGCTGGGGGTACACAGCCTGGCCTTCCCTAGTGGGCAGAGGCCTGGAGCCATCGCGGGAGGGGCCGTTGGCAGAGGATGGAGTTTCCTATAATAAGTCAAGGAGAAACACAGACCGATTAGAAACGGAAGAAAACACACTTGAAGAGAAAACAGATTGGTGCTGACTGCTCTCATCTTCCAGTGGCCTGGGGGAGACACAACATTGCTTAGCCAGCATGGCCCCATGCTGCACCCCACGGCCCAGAGCCTGGCCAAACTGTCTGTCTCTTAGAGGCTGCGGTGTGGTTGGAGATTAGAAGAGGGGAGTGGAGGAGCCCTGGTTGGCGAGACCACTGGAGACAGGGGGCAGCAGATATGTAGGAGAGCTGCTGACTGCTCCCTCGGTCTTCAGAGACCCAGACCAGGGAATCTCCCAGGCAGAGCATGCAATTCCAGCTTCTAAAGGACAGCAACCTTCTCTGTTTCCCAAAAGGCCCTCAAGTCTCCCACCTACACAGAGAGTTAGTGGACTCAAACACAAAACCCCATTTGGAAATCTTTTTTTGTGTGTGCTAGGGCTTGAACTTGGGGCCTGAGCATTGTCCCTGAGCTTTTGTGCTCAATGCTAGTTCTCTACCACTTGTGGCGCAGCTCCACCTCCAGCTTTTTGGTTTCTTTCATTGAAGAATCTCATAAACTTTTCTGCATGGAGTTGGCTTCAAACCACAATCCTCAGATCTCAGCCTCCTGAGTAGCTAGGATTATAGGCGTGAGCCAGAGAAGTGGGGGGAGGGGAGCCAGAGGCTGCTTCCTTGAGAATATTTTTAGAACAAGCTTCATGAAAAGGAGCTACACAGGAATGATGAAGGCACACAGAAAGAGAACAAACCCTAAGACTGAATTGTGCTAGTGGTAGGAGCCCTACTAACAAGAGACTTTGCCTGGTCAAGCTTGAGTCAGGCTCTAGAACCTTCTCTAGGTCCCTCTGTGCACTTCCAGGTAAAATCCAGTTTTAGTAAAAGAACTGCAAAGTCAGGTTAGCCAGAATCTCCATGTCTCTCTGATGATCCAGGATACCTGATCCTGTTCCTTGTGTCCACTCCCCACCCCCAGGGGATGTCTGACCACCCTGGCCAGGCTTTAGCAAGAGCCCTGTTGGGTCAGTTTAGCCTGAAGCCTCTTCCCCTTGGTGGTTTTGTCCTTTGAACAATTTTCATCCGCGGAGTGTCACCATGCCCCTTGGCTATAAATGTCTCTTTGCCTAGGCCACACTGGGCATCAAGCCCCATCCGTCTCCCCCTGGAAAGACCCATTGCGGTGGTCCACACACCTGTCACAGTGGTTCCAAATGAAGTTTTTCTTGCTGTGTGTGCTTTAACAAATACCAGGGTCTAATTTTTTTCTTGCCTGAGCAAGGAGCAGTTGGGGTCCCTCTCTTACATTCTCTCATGAAGTTCTCTCTTCGGTGGCCTGGCTATTTTGGGACCCTTGAGAAAGCCAAGTTCCAGATGTACCACAAGGCGAGATCTGATTTCAGACAACAAGGCTGGCCAGCCACCCATTGGTCAGTGTCATCTCTTACCAACCAGGGGCTGCACGACTCGCCTCCCATCCATCAGAGTTAAGGAGAAGGAGCCTCCCTGGGAGAGGCCTCAGGCACAGCAGCAGGGCAGGAGGCTGAGAATCTATGAGCCTGCAGGCTGTAAGTTCCCATGCTGCAAAACTAGCCAAAAGTCAGGGCAGATCTGGAGAGCTGGTTTGATTTGAATGAAGAGACCAATATCTCTGTCACATCTCTACTGATGTGTAAGTATGGGAACCAGGTGGCTGGCCCTGGACTTTAGTCCATTCGGGCCATCCTCGGCCTTCTTCTTTAGACTTTGCCCCTGGAAGGGTCCCCAAAACACAGGGAAGGCAAGGGTATCACTTTGTCCTTGGGGACACAGGCAGACAGGCACTTGGCACTCTCAGATTAGAATACCCACGTGCTCATGGCAGTGGCATTATTTTTGTCTGCTCAACTCTCAGGTCACCCAAGAGCAGGGAGCAGATCCAGGCTCACATTCAGAACGCAATTCTTGCCATGAGGGCAGCTCAGGGAGTCGCCAAGAGGCGCTGAAGAAACCTCTGCTCGGCATCCAGGTAACAGACCTCCTGGCCCCGCTCACTAAGTGCACACACAGCCAACCTTCCTCCCAAGGAAATGGGGGCCTGTGGAAGCCCTGGGATATCGTCTTTGGGGCTCACTGGTTCTCAGCCACTGCACGCCCCTTGCAGCCAAACACTTGCAAACCTTGAGCTCTTCCTTCAGTGCTCCCCATAGGCTCCGAGGGATCGTGGAACCAGTGAGATGTGATCTCCTGAATGGAGCTGAGTGGGGCTGACGGGCTGAATGGACAGACAAGAGGCAAAGTCACTCGTAAAGCAGGTGAGGCTGGATGTGAGGGAACCACGGGCCCTTCCAGGAAGAAAGCTCACCAGACGGAAGCCAGTGCATTCTTGCTTCCAAGTGAGCTTGGACAATCCTCTTAGCCTTCATTTCCTTTTCTAGAAAATACAGTAGATCTACCATGGTCTCCTGAGACATATTAAGAGGGACACCCAGAGGGACCATGGTAAATTAACTTCCCTTTAGATTCCAAAAGACCCAAAGGACAAAGCTAACGATAATGACAGAAATCAGACTGTCGTTGCCTCTGGAGAAGATGGCAGTGGCTGGGAATGGCATGGAGAGAAACTTGTGGTGGTGGTACCTACGTGTGTCCCCGTATGTAGGAATCTGCCACACTGAACACATCTCTGCAGCCACACCCTGCCGGATCACTGGATTTTACAGGTGATGGCTGCCAGTCTCACACCCTCACAGCCAGATCCTTCGGAGACTGAGTCCCCGGCAGGAAGGACTCCTGGGGAAGACCCTGCATCCAAAGGTACCGGTTATATTCTGTTCCTCAACTGAGGAAGAAAAGGGAGGAGAGAAAGAAGAGGAGCCAGGCCCCGGTGGCACACACCTGTAATCCTAACTACCAGGAGGCTGAGATCTGAGAATTACAGTTCAAAGCCAGCCCGAGCAGGAAAGTCCATGAGACTCATCTCCAATTAACCACCAGAAAACCAGAAGTGGCGCTGTGGCTCAAGTGGTAGAGCTCTCACCTTGAGCAGAAGAGCTGAGGGACAGTGTTCGGGCCGAGTTCAAGCCCCACAACCAACAACCAAAAAAAAAGAGAGGGAGAAGACCCCACCCAGCTTGCGCAGGGACTGTGAAGGCACAGGCTGGAGCCAACATGTAGTCTGGGTCTTTTCCAGAAGTGTCAAGTGCAGGTCTAGACAGGAAAGAACAGAGGCCAGATGCCGGTGGCTCACACCTATAATCCTGGCTACTTAGGAGGCTGAGATCTGAAAATCAAGGTTTGAAGCCAGCCAGGCAGACAAATCCTCAAGATTCTTATTTCCAATTAACCAACAAAACACTGGAATTGGAGGCATGATTCCAGTGGTAGATCACCAGCCGTAAGTGGGGAGAAAAAAGAGCAAGAATGAGAGGCTCTGGTGCTGGGAAGGTGACTCAGTGGTAAGTGCTTGCCTTGGATGCATGAGGCTCTGGGTTTGATTCCTCAGCACCACATAAACAGAAAAAGCTGGAGTGGTGCTGTGGCTCAAGTGGTAGAGTGCTAGCCTTGAGCTGAAGAGCTGAGGGACAGCACCCAGTCCCAGAGGTCAAGCCCCATAATCGGAAAAAAGGGGGGCGGGGCTGGGAAGTTGGCTCAGTGGTAGAGTGCTTGTCTTGCATGCATGAGACCCTGGGTTGATTCCTCAGCACCACATAAGAAAAAAAGGCTGGAAGTGGCACTGTGGCTCAAGTGGTAGAGTGCTAGCCTTATGCTGAAGAGCTGAGGGACAGTGCCCAGGCCCAGAGTTCAGGCCCCATAACCGACCCCTCCCACACACACACCAGAAAAAAAAAGAATGAAAGGCTCTGAATTCAAGCCCCAGTACTAGCACTAAAAAACTAAAATTAAAAACAAACAAACAAACAAGAAACAATAGTGTTCTCAAGTTCTAGCACATGTCCAGAGTCTCCAGATTACATTGGCATCTTTCAACTAGGATTCCCTACTGGCTGTATCCTGGCTAATAAAAGTGATCTGGGATTGGGATTCTGCTTCCTCGGGATTGGGTGATCATGTGACAGTGACAGGGACACAAGCAGAGGGCTGCAGATACTCATTTCCCTCCCTCTTCAAGACCGGCAAGCTCATTATCCTTATCTTTGGTAAAGATACCCGGAATATACATACAAAATCCAATTAGGAAATAGGAGCCCCTGGGCCCTACTTTCAATGCTTATCTCACTATGTTAATTTCTAAGACAAATTAGTTAATTCCTCTCTGTTGTTTGCACATTGCTTTAAATTCCTCTCAGGTTCCTCTTGAGGCACCAAACAACTTCGTGAGATGGCCATGATGAAAAACAGAAAAAGGTCACCCCAGATGTGCCCTATTCCGCATGAGACATTATTACTGGGGAAAGCCTGAGGTCAGTTCTCAGCCTGGTAAGTGCTGTGCCTGTCCACCGACTGACTGCTGCTTAGTACATGCGCAGTAAAGGCACAACTGTGGCAAAGCCTGCACTTGCTCTAACATCCTGCTCTGCCCCAGTGTGTCACAGAGCAGCTTGCATCTCTCCCTGCACCTTAGTTTTCTGACTGGTAAATGTAGGGGAAGCCCCGAAATATTCTCCCCAGGAGTGGTTTTCAAGACTGTAGTGAGTGACTGCACAGTCAGAAAATGCAAACAAAACTGCAGGCCCTAAACTCTAACCAAGCAAGTATGATTCAACAGGTATGTGAGGACCCTGGGAAACAGGAATCTGAAATTCCCATCAGAAATTGCTGGAACTCAAGGCATTTGGAAGTTTTGTGTCCCAAATGAAGAGGAGGGCCTGGCAGCTGAGGCTCACACCTGTAATCCTAGCTACTCAGGAGGCTGAGATCTGAGGATCGCCATTCAAAGCCTGCTCAGGCAGGAAAGTCTGTGAGACTCATCTCCAATAAACCACTCAAAAACTGGAAGTGGTCCTGTGGCTCAAGTGGCAGAGTGCTCACC